ACCATTTTCTGATGTTGCTACAGGAGGAGATTTCTTGCGCTGCGGACGCGCATATTTCTCGCAGGGCAGAACTCGTTCTTTTGACTATTAGTGATCATTCGATAGCGTAATCTTCTCTGATTCCAACGCTGTGCTTATATCCTGAAAAGACCGTTTCCCTGCAACGCAGTAGGGAAAATAAATTGAATTCGCATGTGAGGGCAAGAGCGTTCGATGTAAATTGTTGACGCGATACTTCCCTACTTCCCTACGCATTTATATGTCCGAAAAATCGATAACCGTCGAGTCATCGAACGTGATGGCCTCACGTGGCGCGTGAACTGGCTAAAGACTCCCTTGCCCACACATGCGAATTAAATTTATTTTACGTACTTCGTTGCAGAGAAACGGTCTTTTCAGAATATAAGCACAGCCATGGAATCGGAAACGATAACGCTATCGAATGATTACTAATAGTTTAGAGAAAGAGCCCTGTTCGGCAAGAAATATGCGCGTCTGCAACGCAAGAAATCTCGTTGTGTAGCAACATCAAAAAAAAAGTTTTTAGAACATCAATGATATGGATCTGTAGCCTAAATTGTCAGCTTTCCCATGATTGCTAACACTCCTTTGGAAAGTTCCTCTCCAGCAAACGAGATTAATTTTTCACTTGCTCCTCATAACCACAAAGAACCGTTTTCTCCTGCTTTTCATCGAATTCTCTCGATAATGAGCTTTCTGCTTTACCAAATACTGAAAAAAAGGAATCATGTTCCTACAGAAACATGGCGTGTTACAAATCGAACGTTTGTGCAAGGAAGGTCATCGAATGAAGCTTGCGTTCAGTGCACAGACTTTTTAGCGATGTCACAAGCATAGCCTCTTCGGTTAAGACACAACCTGCGCGCCGAGTGTGAAGCCTAATCTCCTTTTAGCTGTTACACAGCATTAAGAAGTCCATTTCAAAAACCAATTACATTTTTGTAATCCTTAATATCTGATCTATGAAGGAGTTCTTGAAAGCATAGAGAAATAGTTTTGTTTAGCGAGAAATGCTTGGATGAGAAACAAAATTTTATTTTTGCTCTTTCATCATATTAATGAAGCAATTTAGAACAACTACATACGATTCAAATTCTTTGAATTTGAGCTATTCAACAATCATATAACCTTCAAAAAGAATCAAAAACTAGGTTTTTTCTGAAGGGTCGAAACACGGTATGTGTAATGGAAATAATAAAGTTTTGCGGAACCCAATCTACTTTTTGGCTGTTGCAGCGTACTAAAAGGTCCACTTTCAAAACCAAAAGCATCATTGGAATCCTTAAGACTTGATCTATCGTCTAATTATTGAAACTCTGAAGGAAAAGCTCTGGTGAACTGGAAATGTTGAATGAAGAACAAAATCTTATTTTTGCTGTTTCAACGCTGTCATAGAGAATTTTTCAAAAAAAAAAAAAAAACGCCGTTCAAATTCTTTTGCCTCACTTTCGAATGGCTAACCAAACATCAACAACGACCAAAAAGTACTTTTTTCAAGGAGTCGAAACAGGGTACGGATAACGGAGAAGTACCGACAAACAATTGAGAGCGACAGCACAGCCATGTTCTCACATTCTTACTACCAAACTACTGCCAATGTTTAAGCAGAATGTATAACTTGAGAAAATGATGAATTAATTCGTTATCGTGTCCTTGTAATCGCGTAAATAGGTCAAGCTTTATTTAATATATCTAAGTTTGGCAATTCGCCATCCGGTATCCCCTGTCAAAACCACAAGGAAGCATAGTGAGAGTACATCCGTAGTGAACACACTTCACAAATTACATGGAATGGACATGAGAAGGTTCAACTCCTTGACAACAATTTTCAATGGAATTTGAGTTTTTATTAATACTAAAGGGATTTTATCGCCATTAAATGGTAAATATGTTGGAGAGATTCCGATAAAGCTCAGGAGTGCACATGTTTCGGGAGTCGCCATGGCGTCACATCTAATGCTAAGAGATCGATTCTTCGAGATCATGACGCACCTGCATGTAAGCAACACCATAAGTAACGACGTAAAGAACAAGTTTTACAAAATAAAGATCCATTCGAACCATGGAGAGGTATGTGTCGACGAGTCGATGGTGCCATTCAAAGAACAAATTGGGTTCACCCAGTTCGCTCTTTGCTAAAGGGACAGATATGGAATAAAGCTACTCAAAGATAAAAAGGATGGTGTACATAAGTGCTGGCACAAATCCGACATCGATTGGGCTGTATGCAGATGGTGTAGCAATGGAACAAATGGAAGGCCTCCTAGATTATAAATTTCAAAACCAAGCACACTACTAAAATTCCTAATTCTCTGAAAAAGGCAAGGAAACAGCAGCACATTCTATGGAATATGACTGCACTTCACACAATCTACGATGAAAGGATAAGATTTTTGGTCTCTACTAAAAATACGCTCATAGAAATCCCTTCAATAAAAAACTATCTTTTCATAACGAGTTTGCTAACAATGAAAATCTGAATGTATAATAGTACTTCGCAGCAAAGTTGAAACAACGCGCTCCGAGAGTCAAGCGTTATCTTTTCTTTTCTTTAATATAACAAAGTAAAGATGTTCTCTCAAAACCGCGCTTGCTATGATCTGATTCTTGAATGACTATGAAAACATTGATATATTTGAAAAAAGGTTATGTGGCAGCTGAAAAATGTTCGTTTTCGAACGGGGGTTTTTTTTTTTTTTTTTTGTTAAAACATAATCTCTTTACTGTAAAACTCTTTGAAGAAATCTGTTCTCTATCACTTCATCATTTAATCACAATGATGCTCCCTCAATACTTCAACTTATCAGCCACATTTTCATATTTCCATTGCAACTTGTGATAATAGAAGCCTTCGCAAAAGAATACCAATCGTACAGCGACAAAGTTCTTCGCAATCCACAAAGTCCCAAGTGCATATAAAGAACTGGGAACGACGTATCACGTCACGTCTGCATTACAGAATAGAGACATGCTCTCTTGCCATCTCAACACATCAACTATGAGCAAAAACTGGTCGACAATTAGCCACAGAAGCCAAAATGAAGTAAGTAAACTCAGGGATATTAGTTAGAATAAAACATAAAGAACGAGAGAATTGGTGGATCAGCATGAGATGTGAGGAGTGATAGCTAAATCCGGTAAACAGCCAATTAAATGCTGCTTAGATGGTTTTCTTTTACAAATTGCGGTGAGGCCAAGCACTTCTATTTCACCAACATTCTGTTGACAGTTTTATTTCAGTTGCTCAATAACTCCGCATGCCTCACAATCACCTATATTAAAAGTGGGGACGGGGCAACGTGTCGTAGTGAAATCTTTCGTAAAATTGTGGCTTTCATCATTTCGCCGTCACCTATTGTCAGTAGGGTTAACTAGTGGAACGTGTAGCTCTGATGAGGCAAGCGTTACTGCCAAAACGTACGTAAATCATTGTGGTATAAATCTTGAAAAGGCTAAGAACATTCCCGCAGACTATGATGAATTTTCATAGCGAAATTCATTAAACAGTCGATCAAAGGGCAACTTCACATAGAAGTTTTCTGGTCAAAACCTATCGGCAGATGTCAGTCCTTAAAAATGGAAAACAAATTGCCGTTCCCAGTTAATTCTCATTTCAAAGAGCAACAATTCCGTAAGCAGGTTTATCACTCACGTGACTCCCTGGAAATGTCGGATTTCATTCCGTCTTTGAAGCCCCACTGTATATCAAGATTTCCGGGAGAGTTTGCTTGGCCACAATATCCACTAACTTCGTAGCAATGCTTTGACTTTTTAGAATCTTTCAAAATTATTTTAAAAAAACTGAGAAGTAAATTCTATATTATCCAGAGCTTTAAAACTTACTGTGAGAATAGAAACAATACAAAAAAAAACGACAAGTAACTTTCGGGTTGTCGAAAGTTCCATCAAAAGCATCATCTTAAAAAGAGAAATTCTCAATAGATAGATGTGAATGGAAGCAACATTGAATTTTTAGTACCGAATAATAAAAATTAATCAATAAATGAAGCCATATAACCCTGCTAGATACCTGTAAGCTAGCCACTCTTCGTAGAAGACCTTGACCTCGTCCCTCGTCCAATGACGGAAAGCTTAATGCCCGACCATTATGCGTTGAACGCGTCTCAGGATTGTGCCACATCTGCGAGAAATAAATTCATCCAAAAGCATCTTTCGTACTATCACTCTTGGACAAAAATCGGCGAATACTGATTGCAACACATTATAAAGAGTTCTTTGAGCACATCTAATACAGAAGTAAATATAATTTCGAACATTAACACAACGGTAAAGACGGGGAAGTATTAGTCGCCTTGTTCAAGAATAAAAGAAATTCTAACATGTCATTTCTGAATTTTTGTACAAATAATCAATCACATTTTCTCAAGAGATGATATCGATGTGACAAATAAGATAAGAGCAATTGATTTCTTCTTCAGTATGAAGTTGGAACGTTTGGAATCAAAATGTATTTTTCGCAAATTTCCTCGTTAATGAACTTCACTAAAAAAAAACAGTACATCTATCATCAGGTAATGCTTAACAAATACTGCATACAATAGATTATTCAAAAAACATGATCGCTTTCACTAAATGGACGACAAGCAACACAGAATTTTTTTTTATTTATACGCTCTGAGCGGTAGTATGATATGATGGATATACCCAATGATTTAAAGTGATGTGCAACACTTTTTGCGTCATGCGGGACTCGAACCGGCATTTCACCCTATCCGAGGAGCGTACTCTTACACGGTGCTCTGGAGTTTTATATCACTCTACATCATTGGGTATATCCATAACATTGTACCACAGCTAAAAGTGGTTAGACAAAAAAGGAATTTCGAATGATCATCTAATGTCCAATCTCTGTCAGCGTGACTGGGTTCAATGTCGATATCGACTATCCAGACCAAACCGCTGACGGTTGGCAGCTGACGATACATGTATTGTAGCGTAGAAAGAGTGACGGCAAGATAGGCATCGATGGTGCAACGGTTAGAGCACACACTCCTGGACAGGATGGCATGCGGGATCAAGTCCCGCCCGAAGCCAAAAGTTTCGCACATTACTCTACAATATTGGAACAGATAACACATTTGTATCAATAAACGATAACACAAAGAACAGAAGCAGCCGTAATGAGGACGGAAGTCCTCCTCTTCAAAGGAGAACAGTGTAGATAAAAACGTTATTTGATGAAATTAAAGGATAATTCAAACCAATCCTTTAGAGTGCTTCCTTAAGACTACGCTCAAATTACAATATACCTGATGATATGCCAGTGCACTGCATAAGTGCCCATAGCAGACCACATGCATGGCTCAAAAATAATTATCAGGCATCTTGAAAAGGTAATCTTCTTCACATAGCACATCATCACGAGACCGTGTGTTCCACAACACATATAAACCTAGCTAATTGGTTTCATAACATCTCGAAGCATGAAATACAACGGTTGTGTTGAAGCTTTCAGATGTAACATTGGCAGATACCGCCCGTTGTTGATCGAATGTTTCCTATATCGCAATTGAATTTTCTTCAAGATAATATCGTTTCCAAGTGATGCTCAGTTTTTGACGGTTTCCTTCTGGATATTTTAAGCATTTAGAATTCAATTGACATGAACACTCCTCTGTACATTACAGCTTGGAGCTCAAAAACATCTTCCGGACAATGAACGAAAAACGACGGACAACCAAAAGAATGAAGTGGAGCGACAAAGGAGAATAAGTAATACATGTTCATGCATAACAATGGAACCATCGTTTAACCTTTTCCAGAACCAACGATCATTACATTTACCCTCAGCATAAATGATTAACATCTTTTCAAATTTCTCAGTCAAAGCGAATTTGCTATAAAGTTTTCTATTCGGATAATGTTTCTGTACTTTCGCCTCGCTCGACACAGGGGAGATCTGAGTCGATTGTCCAATGTCTTTCGTTCTCGTTTACATGATGTGGGCTTTCGGAGTGGCAGTAAGCTGAATCTTCTGGAGTGGAAAATCGTTTGAATGTCATTCAAGAAAGCCGTGTTATACAGGACGATTATTGCTTATTGTCCATTGATGATTTCTTTTAACTCTTTTGGGACGAAATGTATTCATTTGGATACAAGATTTTTGAAGATCTTTCAAACTTTCAGTTATCATTCGAACGCTAGAGTCTCAGTGATATCAATAGTATTTCTTTCTTGCTTCACATTGTCAAATAAACCCGCTATGGAGCCCCGAACGACGAGCGAACTATTTTCGAGTGCAAAATGTTCTTATTTTGCTCTGATAGCACTCTATGTAAACCTTTTCAAAAACCAATCTCAGCTTCAAAATCTTCGAGATTTGGGCTATTGATCAGCTACCAACGATCAAGTGAGAAGTTACCCACAGACTTCAGCTTAGCAAGCAAAGCAAACCTAGTCTGAACCGTGATATTATTTTCGCTGCTACAACGCAATAAGGAGAGCTTTTTATAGACCAAACACATTATTGAAAAGGCGGGACTCAAGCTTTCGAATGATTACGGAAGGTTTGCAGGAAAACTTTACCCAACAAGAATAGCCCCCGGAAATTGTGTATCCAAATGGATACACTCCGTTTGAAAAGATCAAAGAGAACAACTCGGCTTGCAGTAATAGGCATTATAACAGTTAGCAAATGGTACTCAAGGTGTGCCACACTCCAGAAGATTCGACTTATGTGTTCTTGAGGAGAAACGGGTATGGACAATCAACTCTGGTCATTCTGGGTTCACAGAAGACTATGGCTTCGGAACTTCAGCCATGTTAAAGACTGGGTGTGCAATTCAAGAAAAAAAAATGTAAAATTGACAATCTAAAAAGACGTTTGTTATTATATGACACTTCGAGTTCATTAATAGAAGAAAAGCACCATAAAGTTCACAGTGATTCACTGCGATATCGAAAGGAATGACGATCTATCGTGGTATTTTTTCGAAAACAAAACAACGACGCCTTTCTTCATAAGGCCATCGATTGATTACTTACAGAATCAATATTAGTTCTTCTCATAAGTTGTGACACTACAGCAATAAATACTAAATTTATCACTTAGAAGTAATTAAAATTCCTCAACAACACTATTCAAATTATCCGCCATCAGCCTGAACACATTACTGCCATCTCACAAGCAATAAATCATTATCGCCTGTGCAGAATTTTCTGAGCTTTCTTCTCGACCTCGACCGCTGCAATCGGGCCTTTTCACGTCTAAGTCGCCGCAATCTATCCTGCTTCAAGACAACGTAAGGCTGTATGCCGCCAAATTGCCAAAAGGGAGTTGACCGAAGTGGGCTGGGAGTTGCTGATTCATCCATCATGCAGTCCTGACTTGTCGCCATCTGACTATCACCTTTTCGGTCGCTGGAGCACTTCCTCAGCACGAAGAAGTTCCAAGACATCAGTCATTGCGTCGAAGATTGACAACTTTCTTTGAATTCAAGAACAACGAGTTCTATGAGCGTGGCATTGATTATTCGCCTGAGAGATGGCAGAAATGTGTTAAGGCTGATGGCATACATTTGAATAGTGTTGTTAAGCAATTTCAATCACTTCTGATTGATAAATTAGGTATTTATTGCTTTAATGCCAAAACTTATGAGAAGACCTAATAGGATGACATTTTTCTTTACGAAAAATGTAGGTGTCCACATTTGTTTTGAACCTGTTATCAATGAACTGACTATCTACATATGAGTTGGGAGTGAAACTGTTCATAATTGACTCCATTCGCTTATGCGTGGGCTGTGGTACACAGTTGATAAAGAAAGATTCACTGAGGAAATATAAGGACAAGAGAAAGATGAATGTCGTTAGGCTCTAACTACTCTGTTTTCAGTAGGGCTTATATGCGGGTTGCACACGTTTAATTGTACGCTATTTCGCTACAGAAAATCTGTTCGATATTTGATTAAATATATATGAAAATGTTGCCGCCAAATGTTGACTAAAAATTGTGTCTAACAGAATACTGTTTTGTTACAGTCAACCGATATCATGCAATCAGATGTAAATGGAAATGTTAACTACAAATGTTTTCGTGGGAATAGTCAAGAGTTAGGAATGTTGTAGGTTACATATTGTCGACTATATTCTGAACATTTGCAGAGACTCCCGCCGGAATAAAAGAGTCTAATACATTTTTCGCTTAGCAAGGCCACTGTAAAAAAGTGGAGGATAAATGGATATAAGCAGATAAGGAGCAACAGTATTAGCAAGGTAGCCACGAAACCTTTGGAAAGATTGAGACCATCATAAAATATGCCAGATAATCACTTTTTGAGCCACGCATGTGGTCCGTTATATAAGGGCTGACTTATAGAGCTTGATACACGTGTTCCAACCTTGACGGTCTCATCAGTCGAGCGGTACCCTTTCCGTCTTTAGCCAATCGTCTAGGGGCGCTCAGTCCCCTATACTAAAAGTAGGCGACGAAGAACATTTTACACTGTAAGTCCAGTGAATTCATCACTGAACAGACAGGGTTGTGCACCCGATCGCTCTTGGCTAGTATCGTTGATATATCAAATCTTCGTTTCGAGTGTTTTCTTAAGACTAAGCTTAACATTTGAAAAACATTATGAATTATCTTGGGGTTGAAAAAGTCGAGAATTTTATGGACGGGTGTGACATCAACTGGTGGCGATCTTCGAAGACTGCTCGATGGGACCTTGATGAGCTTATCATCGACGAAAACAGGAGATCCTTCAATCAAAATAATATTGATTCCGCGGGGTACGAGGTGGTGTAAACATCTGTAGTTGTACAATTGATGGCGTAAAGAACCATCTTTTTCATCTGGCTATTTTCTGGACATCGCATATTCGGAAAAGAAACGACCGAAGCTAAAGGGAGAATAATGTAAGAGAAAAGAGGGAAGTAACGTTGATATCGCTTCACAACATGTGACCTTAGGATGGGTGGATGATCTCATATCCGGTGGTCCGGTTAACCCGTCATGGCGATGTGGTGTTGAGATGGGAGTGCTTTTTGCACGAACATAAACGGTGGGTGGAAATTCTCATTTATAAAACAAATTGTGCGGGCGTATGACAATATGACTGGAAGGGAGACGATTTCAGCAGAACGTGTGAAGTGGTCTAGGGAGCCCATAACTTTTCCTGATTTCCACTGTCCCCTACCAAGAGTGGAATCATGTATCAATACAAGTCACCTTTCACAGAAGCTTTGGATCCAAAAGATCTTGGTGAAGGATGTACCGTTTTGTGTTGGCACAAGACGTCACATATTCGTCGCTCCATCGCTTCTAAAAATTATCGATCATCTTGGCTATTCTCCAACCATCAAGAACGGAACCAAGTGTAGTCCCGAAATATGCGCGCGTTTCGACGCCATTCTCAGCAGGATAAGGACCACATGGTCTCGCACGAGGTCGCAGGAAGTCGATTGGTCGGGGAGGTGCGTAACCAAGTTTATCTGAAAGACAGGTTAGAGAACGCGTATGAGCTACGGCTTCGGCCTTCTTAATGTGGGTCTTGAAGGGTCTTGACGTCATCAATGTCCATTAGGCGGTTCGCCACAGCGTGCCTGTAAGATTTCTTGGAAATATTGGTCATTTTTTCATAAAATCCTCCCTGCCAAAGACTTAGGCTAGGAATAAATTTGAATTAAATCTTTACCAATAATCGAAGATGTCCAGATTGCTACCAGGATCGCGCAAATCAGAATAATCTGTTGATCAATTTGAAGCATTGAGTATTATCACAGAGAATTCAGGTTGGGCACCCTAAGTCGATAAGGATCGTCGCAAGCAATGTAGACCGTGTGGGCATTCATATCCAAAAATACGTCAACGTAAATGGCGCGACATTTGCGGGTGAGAAGGATAAGCCAATATTTACTAGAGATGTCGGTGTTATTTCGATATTGGAGAGGATCAAAAAAGTTTATGCCTACATTCGCAGAAGGATATCGCAGAGGGTTGACTCGGCATGGAGGGTGCTTGAGGAAAGGCGGTAGGGCGAATGGTTTAGACAGATAACGTCTCCAATGGAAGCAATAGAGAACAGTTTTTTTTA